GTTGCGGCCCAGATCCAGGCTCAGATCCAAGCACAGGCGCAGCAGCAAGGCGGGGCGGTTCCCCAGCAGATCAAACTGCAACTGCCTATCCAGATCCAGCAGGCTCACCAAATCCAGAACGTGGTGACGATACAGGCCCCAACAAACCTGCAGGACCAACTTCAGAGGATGCAGCAACCCAGAGACCAGCAACAACCACAACCGCAACAGCAGCAACATCAGCATCCACCACCAAAGAAGAAGAAACACCAAGAGAATAAAAGGGAGCATAAGGATCATAATCAGTTGCCCGTGAGCTCGGGAGATGGTGTTCATAAACAGGTGGGACTATCAAACAATGACCTTAGTCTGTTGCCGCACATTTCAGCACTGAAATCATGTTTATGCTTGCTGCCAGGTGGGAGCGAAGCAGAGCGTTACAGCCGAACAGCTCAAACAGAGGAAAACCCAAGCCGCTGCTGAGCGGGAGGAAAACCAGAGGTTTGGGACTTTGTGATTTTTGCTGTACAACCGCTGGGAAGCTGCCCCGCCAAGCGTACCAAAATAATTTGCTTGTGTCTACTTTCTCCAGAATGATTGTGTGCAACCAGGTGATGAAGTATATTCTCGATAAGATTGAGAAGGACGAGAAGCAGGCAGCTAAGAAGAGAAAGAAGGACGAGGTGGTTGAGCAGAAACGCTCCAAGCAGAATGCCACCAAGTTGACGGCGTTGTTGTACAAGCATAAAGAACACCTGAAGGCGGAGATTCTAAAAAAGCGGGCTCTGCTGGACAAGGACCTTCAGTTGCAAGTGCAGGTTGGCAAGCATTCAACTTGGTCCAAAGCACGCTTTATGGATTAAAAGTATAAGGACACCGTCGGGAATTGCTAATAGAAGGAAAATGGAGCGGATAGTGTTGCAATACTATTCATTTGACGCATGACCGTGGCCTCGTGTTTTTGAGGAAGTTGAATAAAGACTGGATGACGGCAGTCATCGTGTATCTTAAAACGTTCATATCTGTCATGGAAAAGTCTAAATAAGTGAAACATTCCGGTTTAAAACAAATTGATTACCTCAAATCATGCGTGACGGATGACATGATAACTCG